GATTGTGCCAGGTAAGTCTTGTATCTAATGTAATTCCTAATAGCTTTACTGGTTCAGATTTAATTGCTAATTTGTCAGAACTAAACAAAATTTGTTGTGTTTTGCTTTCATTCATTTTTAATTTATTTGCGGCAAACCAATCTTTAGTCATGCAAAGACTTTCTTTGCTCAGTCTCTCGTTCCCTCTAGTAAGAATCGTGGTATCATCAGCAAATATTCTGAATGAGCTTAAGTTGTCGACAGCCCTAGGTAGATCATTTACGTATAATAGAAATAATATCGGGCCCAGTATCGAACCCTGAGGCACCCCGTTGCATACTGTGGTTAGGCTAGATATTTGGTTGTTTAGACTTACATATTGCTTTCTGTCATTTAGATAAGAGTGAAACAATTTCAATACTACTCCCCGAATACCATAGAATTCTAATTTTTGTTCTAAAATAATTACGTTAACACAGTCGAATGCCTTGGTCAAGTCGCACATTACAGCATATGTTTGTGCTCCTTGATCAATGCCCTCCACTATGTTATCGATAACACTAATCAATGCTGATGTTGTAGATTTCTTTTTTTGAAATCCAAACTGCTCGGGGATAAGTATTGATCTAGTTTCTAAGTACGCGCTGAGTTTATCTTTAATTAACTTTTCCAGAACTTTCGAGATAACTGGCATCACAGCTATAGGCCTATAATTGTCTAGAACATCAGTAGGTCCCTTTTTATGAACGGGGACAATCTTTGATACCTTCAGCTGTTGCGGCCAATCACCTTCGCTTACACACTTATTGAACATATTTGTAAGTGGCTGTGCCAAAGAGTTGAGAGATGCTTTGAGAATCGTAGCGTTCATCCCGTAGTAGTCAAGTCCGGGTTTGTTTCGCAAGGAGAGTACTGCTTCACGCACATCAGATTCAATGAATGGAGCCATGAAGAAGGAATGAGGTGACCTAGGAAGACCATTTAGAAATGATAAGGGATCAATATTTGGATCGACAATTTCACTAATTATAGTATCAGATACCGATGAAAAAAAACTATTGAATTTATCGGGATCAAATGGAAAATTGTTTTCATATTTATTTTTAACGTTCCTTTCCTTATTAACGATATTCCAAATAGCTTTACTCTTGTTCTCTGCAGTGTTTATTGTTTCCGCGTAGGCATTCCTCTTTCCTTCTTTTAGGTCTCGTTTATATTCCTTACGTTTCGTATGGTAAACTTGCCAGTCTGTTAGACTATTTGAGTTCTTGAATTTTTTCCATAACCTACGCACCTCTTTTCGTGCATCTCTCAAATCCTTGGTGAACCATTTGAATTGAGGTCTTTTGAAGTAAACCGACTTTGTTGGAAAGCAATTTTTTGTGAGTTTTGTTAAATTATTTATTATATATTCAACCGATTGACTAGCATTGGTGTTTTCCCAATCAAAATCATTCCAACTAGTATCACTAGTTTTGTTTACAAATTCTAAAATTGTTTGTTCGTTAACAATCCTTTTTTTATAAGAAATATTGCTTTCCGATATTGTCGATTTAAATGATAAAAAGACCGCACTATGATCTGAGATGTGCGGTTCACATACACCTGTCCTCATATCGGAATCACCTAAATTAGTGATAATATTATCAAGGCACGATCTTGTGGTTGAAGTAATTCTTGTTGGTGTGTGAATGACATGTCTCAGTCCATAAGTACTGAGCAAATTTCGCAGATCACCGGCGTACTCCGTGCTGCTGTCTAGATTTATATTTATATCACCTAGGATAATAATGTTTTTGTATAAGTTCCAAAGTTCATCAATCAGACCCAGAAACGAGTCTATAAAAGTCCGCATATCACCTTTAGTAGAGGATCTATAAAGAGTTTCTATAACACAATTTCTTCCTTTTATTTCAACTGCGCAGAATTCCGCATCAAAAGGTTTGCTGAACTTGGAGACGTCAATGCTGCACAACTCCATGTTACTCATAGCGTATATGGCAACACCACCGTGGTCTTTTCTATGATCCCTACAAAACGCGGTAACTAGTTTATATCCTTGTAAATTTATAGTCTGCAAATCATTTTTGTTTAACCAATGTTCAGATATACATAATATGTTAATCAAATTTTCTGCTAATAGTATATTTAATTCATTAATTTTATTTGATAAACTTTGGACATTGAGATGCAGCACAGAGCATTCGGAGTAATCTGATATTTTACTGATATTATTATATAATAATAATAATAATAATAATAATAATAATAATAATAATAATAATAATAATAATAATAATAATAATAATAATAATAATAATAATAATAATAATAATAATAATAATAATAATAATAATAATAATAATAATAATAATAATAATAATAATAATAATAATAATAATAATAATAATAATAATAATAATAATAATAATAATAATAATAATAATAATAATAATAATAATAATAATAATAATAATAATAATAATAATAATAATAATAATAATAATAATAATAATAATAATAATAATAATAATAATAATAATAATAATAATAATAATAATAATAATAATAATAATAATAATAATAATAATAATAATAATAATAATAATAATAATAATAATAATAATAATAATAATAATAATAATAATAATAATAATAATAATAATAATAATAATAATAATAATAATAATAATAATAATAATAATAATAATAATAATAATAATAATAATAATAATAATAATAATAATAATAATAATAATAATAATAATAATAATAATAATAATAATAATAATAATAATAATAATAATAATAATAATAATAATAATAATAATAATAATAATAATAATAATAATAATAATAATAATAATAATAATAATAATAATAATAATAATAATAATAATAATAATAATAATAATAATAATAATAATAATAATAATAATAATAATAATAATAATAATAATAATAATAATAATAATAATAATAATAATAATAATAATAATAATAATAATAATAATAATAATAATAATAATAATAATAATAATAATAATAATAATAATAATAATAATAATAATAATAATAATAATAATAATAATAATAATAATAATAATAATAATAATAATAATAATAATAATAATAATATAATAATAATAATAATAATAATAATAATAATAATAATAATAATACACCCCCTTACGAGTGAAATTTAACCCCTGAAGTCGACTTAACGACTTATGTAGGGGAAGGGACGGCTATTATTATTATTTTCCGTGGCGCTCCGGGGCGACTTAAAGATGATTGATGGTGCCATTTGACTTACAGGTGAGGAAAACCCGGAAAACCTCACCCACCATCATCGAGACGGTAATGTATGGCGAATTTTTTTAATCTGCATGTCATATCAACAGAAATTGAATTTCTCTTAATACGCCACACATCAAATCCTAAACCGAACCATGCAATTTAATTAAAAATCCACATGGTCTGGTCTGGGATTCGAAACCCAGCAGTCTCAGATTCATAAACTTGCCTATAAATGAATAGACCGCTACACCACCGTCCCGATTATTCGAAAGCAATCAAAGCTTTAAAGCGTACATTTGGTCGTGAGGATTTACTCATACAGATGTATAAAAGAAAACTCCTCAATTTAGTGGTGGGAAGTTATAAACAATAACTTGCCTTACTATATGATGATTTAGAGCGTCATATTCGATCTTTAGAGTCCCTTGGAGTTACGACCAATACATGTGCCAAAATGCCTTTCAGCACACGCCACTGTTTTTACATGCTGCAAATAATCCCAGCAAGTTGGATTCGCACATTACCAGCAAACGTACATCTGCATACCACGTACCAATGAATATACAATCTAAGATAACTAGCAAGTGTATTTTATTGGAAAGATTTATGCTAAACATTTAAACAATAAAATACTTTATAAATCTATATTAAAAACATATATTTTAAATTTTACAATAAAAAATGGATTTTTTAAAATATAAAACAAAATAATGAGTACATTTTTGGGGGATCATTTTGGTCATTGTTTCCTTCAATATAAGATAATTTTGCCCTAACTTAAAGGGAAAACTAATTCTATTGCTACCTTTACCATGTTATCGACAACATATTATAATTTTACATTGTAAATATAAATTGCAAAAAATATTTTTAAAACACAATAATTAGATGATCTAAAAATTCTTTAATTCTAACACCTTACAATCATTGTAATCTTAAACGGATAATTTTGAACCACCTTTCCCTACTGTTTCAAATAAAATACGCCGCATATTCTAACTTCCGATAAATCGAAGAAAGTTCGTGAAATATCAACAAAACTATTCAGTCTCTTCACGAACAAATTGTGCAGAAAGTGTATAAAATGTGTGAGTTCCGAACTACGCTCGCCAATCAGGATTATACAATTTACTATACTCTGATCCCAACTACAATGAATATGTGCTTCTTTTTCCAAGCCAATCTTCCCTCTATCACCTATATGGTATGCTTTACCTGACTTTCCTAGCTCTACTGGAGTTCTACTAGCAGCAATTCATCTCTTGCGATTCACCAACTGTGGTGTTATCTGCAATCCTCTCTGATTCTATCCAGTGTCTCTGTTTACTGCCTATACATTTTCGCATTCTGATAGTGCCACAACCACAACAATGTTTTTAAGTTTATAATTTTCGTTTAACCACATTTATTTTTGTGCATTGCGATTTTTTTAAATGACTTGTTCTCATTTTTAGTACATGGTGTTTCATTAATATTGTGTAAAAACTCACTTCCTACCACTGTAGAGGCTCAATAATTCCTTATTGAATTGGCTTGAAAATAGCTATATAGCCGAAACTGGTTGCCGAATAATTTTATTAAGTACAAGATTGATTGTAGTACAGATTTCGTGTTTCATTTATCTCAAATCTTATTATCTCTTCTTCTACTAATATCGATATATTACATTATGTAAACAACTGGATAGATCCGTTAAATAAATAATTTTTTTCTAATTTCAGTTTGTACCAAGCCGTAAAAGCAATAATTTCCGTTGGAGTTTTACTGACATATTGTTTGCAACTTTTCGTCGTCGTTGAAATTGTTTGGCCTTTTATACTATCCAAAAAACTGAAACATAACAAACATCCAGTTGTTTGGGAATTGTTGTTGCGAATGAGCTTGGTTTTATTGACTCGTAAGTATTTGTTATTATATATTATATTTATTTAAAGGTTACCTTTTTGCAACTAGTCTCTAATGAACACGCTATATCGCTGCCATTGGACCCGGACAATACATTTAGAAGCCCGAACCAGAGGTAGGGATCTTTAACGAGTACTTTACCTATGATTTTATATCTCGTGACATTAGCACAACATTTAATATTGGTAATAGAGAGAAAGAGTGGTCATTTCCACTGTGCCTACAGTGCGCTCCATCAGGGAAAAATAGAGAGATGACTCCAGTCGCAAAAACCAAATTTTGAAACTTTTTACCTTTTTTTTCTCTAGAAGTGAAAAATCATCGAGAAGTCACTGGGAATGTTGCCCAGTAAAGTTTTATTCTCGGAGAATGTGTACGATCACCCTCAGTATCTCACCTTTGAGGAATTTCAGCACCATCAGCCCCATCCACCCAGCCTACCAACTGAAGAATACCTTCTCCCTTTCTTGTTTTTCCTTCAATATCATTATTTTGTTTATGTATTCATGTATGTTTTTACAAGTGTTTTTGTCTCCTATTATGGGGTCTATTAGGTTTTGGAAAGGTGTACGTTCCATTCAGCTCGGCGTTCTTTACAGCTTGAAGGTAACCTTGTGCTCGTTGTTACTGCTATTCGGAGGGCCCATTCTTTGAACCCTTCCCACCATGACTCTGTATTTTTTGACTTTAAGTGCCTTAGCCCATATCGGGGTCCTATACAAAATATTGAATGTGTTACAGAACAGAGTATCTTCCTTTTTTGCTGTTCGGGCATTTGCTATTTGACATAATCCTTGCCATAGTTGTAATTATCTTTTCCGCCTTTTTGTTATGAGTTGGGGCGATGGTCTGCTCCTTCAGCTTAAAGTTGACCATGGCTTAGATTATTTCGAGTTCAGGTTTGTTCCCCATCATTCATTGATTAATTTTCCACATTGCTAGATTGGCTGCTTCCCCTAGGTCATCCTGGTCAGACTAGCAAGGTAAAGTCCTCCGCAAAGACTGTTGTGTTATTTTCACGTCTGGTTTGAGCCCCAATATAGAGGAGTTGATCCTCGGTAAACTTCATGTGAAACATATCTCGTGACTTTATATTTCCTGTCTAAGTTTATTGTTGTGTCTATTACATATGTAAAGTCCGATTACAATAAGAAGAACATGTCATAACTATTATTTCGAATTTTCAATATATATCATCTATAACTATCAATAAATAAAGAATATGTGAGTTCTTGGGTTTAAAAATATGATTCCTACATTTTTATAATATTAACACGCCACTAAACTCCCAGTAGGTGGCGACAGCCCACGAATTACTCCGCCAATTGATGACGTAGCTATGTTAATCTTATTGTAATCGGATCATTATTATATTGTTTAAGGTGGATTTTATATCCGTAGGGATACGCCCATGGAGAAGGGGATGAAGATGGGAAGGGGGGAGTGACAATACTCAAAGCCCAAGCGATTGGTTTCAAACCAAATACGGTTAACAAAATCTACCTACTCTACCAACTTTTTATTCCTATTTTTTTTTTTTTTGTTAAAGTATTGTTACTATTGACTAACTTTCAATTTTAATCTAAAAATCTTATGAACTAAATAATTATCTAAGAAGTCCCCATAAGGTTATCTTAATTGTTTCTGTAGGAAAGTATCACAATTTGGCGTGAGGATTCATTACACTGTTGTCCAGTAATTGCAGTACTTCTTCGGTGACGTAGGAATGGATTGGACCCTCATGTTTTGTAGCAAACCTTCGATTGTTGGCATCTTCAGGTCTCTATGATAATCGTTTCGTTAGAACCAAGGTGAATCAACCATGCATCTTAGGACTTTATTTTAAAAAAACTTGTATTATTTTGATATTACTCTTGTTGGCACATCCCCATAGGTGTATGCCATAAATCCAGATCAGTTTTAGGATTTGCTTATAAATCAGTAGTTTGTTGTACACTGACAACTTGGATTTTCTTCCTAGGAGCCAATACATTTTTTTTGAATTTAAGTTCAAGTTCTTTTCGCTTTTTTTATGTGCTTTTTCCATTTAAGTCGTACGTCTAGATGCGCCCCTAGGTATTTGGCTGAACCGTGATGAGGAATCATTATTTATTCCTATTTGTGTTTGTTCATTTGGTCAAAGAGTAAAATCAACATGTATTGATTTAGTTTGATTTATTTTTATTTTCCAGTTTTTTAGACATCGATTGATTCTGTTGCAGGTTTTCTGGAGTTTTTCTGATGTATCTATATTAGTTCCGCCAACTGCCAATATTGCAGTGTCAACTGCATATGTTGTTATTTTAACACACTGTTGTAGAATGATATCGCTGGTGTAAAATAAGTAAAGAACCGGTCCTAGTACACTGTCTTGAGGGACACCTTCTTTAATTTTTTAATTTGGAATATGCCTCCTCTTGCTTCACTCTAAATATTCGTTCAGTTAGATCTGATTGAAGAATATCGACATATTGTCTAGGGAAGTTTCTGTATGCAAAATCTGGCCAAATGCTTCGGCTACGTCAAGAACTATAGCTGATCATATACATTTTTCTTCGAAAGCTTTTTCGATGATATCGACTGTCCTGTTGTCGAGCGTTGGTTTCTAAAACCAAATTGGTGCAAATTAATCAGGTTTTAATTTTTAATTATTGGTTTTAATAGTAGCTTTTCAAATAACTTAGATATGATTGGTAACAATGATATAGGTCTATATGATGACACTTTTTTCGGTGGTTTTCCTGGTTTGGGAATTGGGATAACTTCAGTCATTTACCATACATCTGGTATATGTTTAAGGCGAAATGCTGCATTTATGAAGTATATCAATTTAACGATAGCCTTCCGTGGCCGTGTCTATATTTCTTTGGTAATAAGGTCGCATCCTGGGGTTTTTTGTGAGTTAATATTTCTCTGAATTTCTTTCGCAACTTCATTGGGAGTAACTAGCCTAATTTCAAGTTGTTCCATATTATGGATCATCTCGTTAGGAGTGTCCAGATTTTCATCCAATTGGAACGTCTTTTGTAGGTGGTCAGCGAAAATATAAGCTTTCTGTTGATTGTCTCTTGCCCATTTGATATATGCTATTCTGATAGAAGAACAGCGTTTACATAGATTTTTTATCATCTGTTAGTCCTACTAGCTATCTGTTATAGGATTCTTCTTTGTGATTAAGGATTTTTTTCTCGGTCTTTGGGTAGCCTTATTTAATATATTTTTATCTTCTGGTGATCTGGTCATTTGGTCATCTGCCATTTCTTTGTTTTCTTTTTCCTGCTACCAGTTCTCTTATCTCGACAGGATAGTTTCTTCCAACTGTTAATTTTTTACTTTTGATGTGTTCCTAGATGCACCTTGCTAGATTTCAACTATAAACCATTCCAGTTCGTTATCTATCTGATTTTTTTTAGTATTATGGTGAGTTGAATAGTATTTGTTTTACATCATATATATATATATATATATATATATATATATATATATATATATATATATATATATATATATATATATATATATATATATATATATATTATATATAAAAAGACAATTTAATTGCTTTTTTTCTTATTTCTCCCCCTAAAAGAAGTGTTCCTCTATAGGGCCATGCCTTTCTAAAATAGATATGAAATTATATCCAGTCAGTAGAATGCAATGGCCTACTTTTTCGTTTGTAGTCTGTGTGTAGAATATATCATATCCGTGTGGGTATAGAATATTTAGTAGCATACTACTAAACATTTGGTGGATTTAATATACTTTCTAGAGATATCCGTTCAGTAGAGTGATATGGTGGCTACATATTGATTTAGTAGTTTCTGCAAAAAATGAGTATAAATAAAACAAAATTTTCGGTAAGCAGTGTATTATAAAGAAACGCATAAAATTCATAAAAACTCTACAGATAATTAAATTGTGGTAATAACGCAAAAACACAACAATTATTAGTTATTCATTTTTGTTGATGCATTTCACGTAACTATATGACGAGATTAATATTGTTTTGAATGAAACACATGATATTTTACATTAAAAACAGTTTCTCGAGTTTTTTTAAAAAAGACTTTTTAATTCCTGAACTACAATATTAGTGTCGAAAGTACGAAGAAGAATATTGAAATAAACAAGTTATATATATTTATAAGTTTTAAAGTGCTGACTAAGCTAAGGATAAAATAATGTTTACTAGGCTAATTCTGTACATATAACTCTCGAACAGTTTTTAGAGAATTTAAACAAAATGGCGTTAGAGTTCTATAAAATAACACAAAAAATCTGTAATTAAAATTTGGAAAAAAAGTTAATTAAGTGATTTTGAAATTATGTAGGTTTTATGAATTTTATAAGTTTCTTTAGAGACATCCAGTATGCCTAACTTTACACATACTGGATGTATGGCTATGTACGTGACTATACGTTCCACTTTAAGCGGGGTTGTCGTTGTCTCACTGTGCCCGAAGAAAGTAAGAATGTCTCGCTCCGAAAAAAGGTCACCTATTTCAAACCAAAATAAGAAAATCAGCTCACTATTTTCCTTTTCTAAATTTTAATAAATAAACATAAAACGTTAGACATTTCACTAATTTTTAATAATTTGTTTTATAACATTCTAAGTACCTACTGTGTTTTACCTATGTTTTTACTATTGTCACTCTACGCTAAAAATAATTAACAATTGCTGTATTATCCATAATAAAATTTACAAACGTCACGCTATGAGGAGAAAAAATGTAAGTATGCCTCTACTCTCTTAAAGCGTTCATAACCGATCTAAAAATTCCTAAATATACACTTCATTTTAACAATTTTATCTAAATAATGAAATAAAAACAAAAAAATTCCATCTACACAAATAATTCTCCAAAGATTTAGTCATAAATACAAAGACAAAGGACAATGGACAAAAATGTATGGGAAATTGCCCCTCCTCCAATAAGGAAAAGTTATATATCAATTGAAAGATCTTTTTAAGGAAAACATTTTTCTTCATTACGACTCATCTCAATTACTTATCCGTTCCGAGTTATACCATCCTAAATGTAACTAATTGCAAGGTAGGCCAGTGCTTATATTCTGTTATTGTAGTGCTTATTACAGGAAAATAATAGTAATTATTACTTAGTAATATATAAGCAATTATAATATCCGGGTATATCATAAGATGCTGTCGAGGATTTTATCCGCCGCAAGTATCCCTTACCAATTGGACTAACCTAACCTAACTTTTAATTCTATATAACTTTACTTTATAACATTCTTCTGTATTTTAAAAAATAGGGTACTTTACTCTGGAGTAAAATTCTTATTTTTTGACAAACCCCGTATACGGCTTAAAAAAATAGATATCTGATAATTGAATTTTAAATTTTGGACCATGCAGAGCTTCTTATCAACAATAATTTTTTTCAGAAAACCAATATTAAAAAAGTTTTCCATATGGTTTCAACTTAAGTAGACACACTGTATAACTCGGAACGGACAGACAATTGAGAGAAGTCATAATAAAAACAAATATTCTTCTTACCGATATCTTCTATCTGGCATATATCTTACTCCTATTGGGATGTGTGACAAAATTGCCCATTCTACTTTTGCTATATTTTAATAACAGGTATTTTCCGTTTGGACCAATGAAGTAGAGAGCGGTAGAATGATAACTGTCAATGAACAAGTATAGACACTATGCACAATCTCGTCTTGAACATTTTGTAAACAAGATTCAGGGGCGGTTTAACAACATTTTGTGCAACAATTATAAAATAGTGCATCGGAAAATAAGTAACAAGTATAATTTAATTCTAAATTGAAATCAAAGAACAAAAAAATCCAAAATATAGGCAAGATAACAAAGAATTGACGCCAAAAAAGCTTACAACAGCCACAACACAAACAATAAACAGAGCTGAACATGGACATAATCGCTGAACAAAGCCAAGCCTGGAATTTGTTTATAGTGCTTTAGGGCAACCTCTCTTTGTCATTTACGTCTGTAAGAGTGGAAGATTGAATCATGCATAATTTCTACACTTGTGATGGATGCGCAGACGGTACCTTATCATTCTACCTTATCCACTTCTTTAGTCTGAACTTTAAATGGTCAAACCGATAATCCGAATAAAATGATGGATATCCGTGCTGGGGACAAGTTCGATCCATCAAAGAATGCATGATCTAAAATTATCGGTAAATAAGGCAGAAAAAGATATTGCCTGCATATATTATTTGAAGTTTCAACTTGTTTTTTATTTCTCAATTATCTTTGTTAATATATCGATTTAAGAATTGGTTTTAACGTGACTGTAAGTGGCTATTATTAGACTATTTCCCGGACTCTTTAAAAAATCATGTTTTTTTTGTAATTGTTTTAACTTTTATTTTTATTCTTTTTAAAGTTGCATTATTGATTTAGCGTCAGCAACTGCTCTGATTTATTTAAAAAAGTCTACCAAATCTTAGCTCTTTAGATTTTATCGTATTCAAATTAATTTGGAAATCAAATTAAAGGCAATTAAACTCTCGCCTTAACAAAACTTGTTATTTTTACAATTTTTTTCTATTCTGACAGGACGTTATATTACATAATTAAGGACATATAGGACGTGGGCAAGAATAGATCTCCGATCTCATAATTTTCCACCGATCTTTAGATTAATATCTCCTAAAATCGTTTAACAAAATACAAATAGTGACACAAAAAATCGATTTTCGATAAAAACGAATCGAAACCGCATAATCATAGACGGATCATTAATATACAGGGTTTACTAAACAAAATACAGAAAAGGATTTATTCCCTGTACTATTTTAAGAATATTTTTTTTGATGATTTTTGAGCAGCAGTTTTCTTTTGAAAATACTGTAAGAAAAATAAAATATTTGACAAGAACATTTTATTACCACAAATTACAGGACTATTGCATTCTAGTTGTAGGTAGTCTTTTTTAATATTTCTGATAGATTAAGAAACTTTACAAGTAGTTTTTTGGTAATAATAAAACATTGTTATTGTCCAAAATCTTTTTCGTCCCGTATCTTCTAAATGAATCGGCTTCTCAAAAATCATCAGAAGACAAAATATTTATAGGGAATAGCCCCTTGAATTTAAAAGGAAATAAATTCCAATTCTCAAATGTGAATGTTTGCCGTATATTTAATATATTTTTTTAGGAAATATTGACTATCCAGAAATATCCGGATATTAGAGCCAAACAGTATTAAGTCCATCTTTTTTCATTTTCCGGTTATGGGTTACTCCTTCATAATAATTTTTCCATTATGAACCTATTATTGTCCAATTTTGATTAAACTTATACGGTATTAAATGATTATAATATCGTTTAGCTCTAAATTAATGAAATTACATATAAATATTAGATCCCATATTTTGTATAATGTCCAAGGATTGTGAGGTTATGTTTTGGACTTATTCCATTAAAAATAGTGTTTACAACTTGTGTTGTTTTATGTAATATTTATATGATTACGTTAATTTTGAAATAACAGGAAGTCAAAAGTTTCAACAAGCTCTCCTGTAAAATTTTGTATAATGGACAAAATTTTCTTTGGCTATAAAGTCTAGATATTTAAACACAGTTGGAGTGTACCTTACAATTAATAGGTTGCAATTTAAAATTGTTAAAATGTAACTCATTATTGAAGATGATCACATTATTTGAACCTACCCTTCTTGATTTATAATAAATATTCTTTCTTTTTCAGTTGTTATGGCACAAATAATCCCATTCCTGAGCTTATTTATATCCTTGGTAGGGGCGGTATGCAGTGCTGCCTTGTCTCTTTTATTTCCAGCATTATTGGATTTGCTAATTAAATATGTCGACAAGGAACTGACATTTTTTATACTTACTAAAGATGGTTTTATTGTCTTTTTGTCGTTAACAGGAATGATTACAGGTGGTTATGAAAGTATTAGTTCGATTTTACTTGCTTTGAGTCAAGAAGATGAATACGAAGTAACTCAAAACACCACTCATTCCACTACAATTTCTTATTTATAAGAAGCTAACAGCTAAGGATTATCTGAAATACGAAAATATTCACAAAAATTTACTAAAACTCCAATATGATTTAACAAACATAATTTCTTAAAATTATGAACATTTAATAGCGAAAAAAATAATCAGTAAAATAGAGCAGAATCCTGAAATTTATAAGTAAAATTACAGAATGAAAATATATATTATAAGCTTATTACGTGTTTTTCCTATATTTAAATATTTTAATACTTAAATTACCAAAGCTGTTTAATGTGAATAAAATTTCAGAAAACAACGACTGTTTTTTTATATAGAATCAACTAAGAACATCTTTCTCATATTCTCTTGAATTAAGTCGTAAAGTTGGACGTACTTACTTATATTATATTTTATATTCGAGGGTAGTCTGGCAAAACCGGCTAAGTGACAAAAATTCAAAAAACGCATAAATGACATAGGCTGGCTGAATTTAATCTTCTCTTTCTACTGGCAAAACCATACAAGTGAAATTGTTAATATATAGTGAGGTACCTCGTGAAAAAATAGGTTATCTGCATTGAATGATTTCTTGCAAAATAATGCAAAATGGGTTAAGTGCAGATAGAAATACCATTCGTTAGTATAATACAGCTAAAAACCATTAAATTGCATTAACCTTTTTTGTTTGTGCACGAATTCCTCACAAGTCAGAAATTACTTCTACCAAAAGGTAATAAGAGAATATATGCCGTTTTACCAGTACATTATATATATTAAAGATGGTAAATTCTTTAACTGGTAAAAAGAAATAAGTATTGTTATGTGGTACTGTGTGTTTTCAGTATATTGGTGAAACGCAGTTATTCGTTTACAAAATAAAAACAGTAGAGGGGATTATTTCATCATTTCTCATGCAGTGTGCCCTCGGCAGTCGTCAGTCGTAATTATTTCCGCAAAAATAGATGTTGTGACTTGTGCGTGCATTGTCGGTGCTGTGTTTTGTAGCCTATTGTTCTGGGAAAAAAGGTTGCTGTTGTTTTCAATATAGATTCAAGAGGGAAACGTTTGGTAGCATTAGTTCGTAATGCGGAAGGTAGATCAGGCAAGTGTAATCTACTTACAAGAAGGATAAAAAATAACTGTGGATGTAAATATTTATTTTTAGTTCACTATTTTTTCTTCTAAAATATTATAGATAGATAGATAAATTTACTTTTTTTAAGATAGAGGTTAATAAAGCGTATAAAAAGAAGCATACACAGTTGTTTTGCTTCTCTTCTGTGAAATTCCATTACAACAATAATAGTATAAAAATGTATATTTAAGGTCATTTATATACGTTAATATTTATTATAATTTTTGAGTTTTTCCAGCTTTTTCCTATTTTGGTACAGGTAGTAGTTTTCATTTTTATGCTATTGTTGTTCTAGTTATTTAAAGTAAAATATTAAACATGAGGAAGTATTTTATTGGTTTTTAATTGTTGCAGGGTCAAACCTGACACCTGCAAGTAATTCGTCAGTTTCTGACGAAGAAAATGAAGATCCCTTTGGGAGTGACTTTTCAGACATGGATCCATCTTTTCATCCCGATAGTACAACTGTTGAGGATGAGTCCCTTGATGAAGAATCTCAATCTGTTGAGGAAGAGCTGATGGAAACTTCAAATCAACAACAATCACCAAATGAAAATAGCACAGAAGTGGTTAATATAATTTTAGCCGAAATATTAAACCAAGTATGGATAAACGTAAAACCTAGGAGAAGACGACGTAAACTAGATATGAGGAACTGGTCTCGAAATGTTGCCAAACAGAGACGCTCAGAAGGTGCATCCTATATTACAACTAATAAATTAAGACCTGCAAAACTACCAAAGCCTATTGACTGTTCACGGTGTAAATTTAAATGCAATGAACACCTATCAGAAGATGAGAGAAATTATATTTGTAGATATTATTGGAATATGGACTACAAAAGTAAAAAGAATTTTATTTTATCTTATGTTGCTGTCCAAAGTCCAAAACGTGTATTAGCAACAAGAAACCAACGCGCGCAGAGGACCTATACAAAAAAGTGTTTTTTCTCCAAAGGAAATGATAAGGTTCAAGTTTGTCAGAAATTCTTTTGTTATACCCTATGCATATCTCCAGCTGTGATTATACATGCGGTTAAACATAGAAGTAATGCCCACGTGTTTGATAATATTGATCACAGAGGAAAGCATGTTCCATCCAACAAGACTTCTGATGAAAAACTTGACCAAATTAGAGCTCACATAGAATCCTTTCCATGCATGGAGTCCCACTACGTCAGAAAACAGACAAAACGTAAGTATTTGGACCAAAAACTTAACATTAGAAAAATGTATAATTTTTATAAAGAACAATGCTCTGAAAATAATATAGAACCTGCTTCGAAAATAACTTATCGAAGAGTGTTCGGTAATGAATATAATTTAAGCTTTTTCATGCCAAAACACGATCAGTGTCTTACGTGTACCAACTATCAGAAAGCCGATTTAATAAAAAAACAAGAACTACAACTAAATTATGATGAACATATTGCAAGAAAAGAAGCATGCAATAAAGAAAAAGACAAAGACAAGAAAAGAGCCAATGAGGACCCACACTTCTGTTCAGTAACATTTGATTTGCAAGCGGTATTGCAAATACCAACTTGTGAAGTAAGTTTATTATACTACTCCAGAAAACTTTCAGTTTTTAACCTGTGCATCTATGAATCTGCTCATCCCAATAATGGTTATTGTTTTTATTGGTCCGAAATAAATGGTAAAAAAGGAAGCTGCGAAATTGGAAGTATTTTGTACCACTACCTGTCAAATTGTCTACTACAACATACTACAGAAGTGAGCCTGTTCTCAGATACGTGTGGTGGGCAGAACAGGAATCAATTCGTAGCTATATTACTTCTATGGGCCACTGCCCAAAAAATTGATAACCTACGTGTGATTGAACAAAAATTTTTGGAATCAGGTCACACATACATGGAAGCCGACTCGATGCATAGTAGTACTGAATGTGCTATAAAACAAAACTCAATTTATTCCATGTTAGATTGGTCCCGCATTTTTAAGTCAGCTAGGCGAAAGAGAAGTTGTATTGTGAATGGTAACAAAATTACCATCGAACCTTACCATATTAAAGAATTTAAATTCAACGAATTTTTGGATCTTAAAAAATTCTCTGAGCGATTTTTTAAAAACCGAACAACAGATACTGATGGAGAGCCAGTGCAATGGTTGAAAATAAAACGAATGAGATATGTAAAGGGAAATATCAATACAATTTTCTTTAATTACGACTTATCTGAAAATTTTAAGTCCAAAAATATCTCTGATACTAAAGAAAGAAGTACAACGTACTCTACCAGAAGATCCAAAAAAAAATACCCAAGAGCTCCAACCGCTACAACAGTTTCCAAACGAATTGTCACAGTTATATCACGCTCCTCTACCTATAAGTACGTCAAAAAAACGAGATTTGCTAAACTTGTGCAAGAAAGGTGTAATCCCAGAAGAGCTTCATGGCTGGTATCAAGCACTTTTAACAGAAAATAATATTACTGACCGCATACCAGATGTTGATATTCAAGAAGACTCGGAAGATGACGACATAGCTGGAGAAGGAGAAGAAGTTCTAGCGTAACCAGATCTTATTTTTTAGAATTTTTACTTTCTTTAATAATTGTTTTTCTTCTCATTTAACTATTTTTTTTTTTTTTTTAATTATTACTTTAGTTAAAAATAAAAAAAATGTTTCTCCTCTCATTAAAATGTTTTTTCGAATTTATTTAAGTTTTGTTAAAAATAAAAATGTGTTTCCTCTCATTAAAACTATTTATTTTTATTTTATTTGTGTTTGGTGATGTTAAGTAATTTTGAGAATTATACTAATAAGTTACCGGCAGAACCAGTTATTGTCATATAACTTAAATTGACGTTTTATATGTTACAGCCAGAACCTCCTAACTGCATGTAGTTTTAGAAAATTCCAATATTTTTTTTCAAAAACGGTTTAGTTACTTTAAATGTTTTTTTTTATTTATAAACCTAATTATACATTCTATCAATCTGTATTACAAAAAATAACATAATTATCTATTGGTATAAAAATAAAGATGTCCCAAACTTTGAAACGTATTTTCTCGGTTTTAACATTAATGCAGATATTTGGTTTTGCCAGACCACCCTCGATATATTATATACATAACAAGTGTTTCAAATCAATATCTCGTAACTTCGAAATTTCGAATTTTCACTTTTTTCAATTTATACAAATTAATTTAAAACAAAATTAAAAATAATAGCCACGTTCATAGGTTATTCATATTTATTTGCTTGTTAATATTATTTATCAAATAATTGCAGTGGCGGCTTGTGAGCACTAGCGGCAGTGGGGCAAACACTGGAAAGGATTCCCGGGATTCGTTTTTCCCTTAGGAAAACAAGTTCTCCGTTTAATGAAAATTAAATATATTTCAAAACAAATTAAATATTACAAAATTGAAGACTAACTGCCAGGTACCGCCGCAGTTGTATACTATTTCTCATAGTTGAAGTCCATTCTTCTGGATTTTTGGCTAGCGAAGTGATCGATGACCAGATTATTAAAATTTGGAATGGACCGAATAAGTGTTTTTTCGATGGATAACATGGCTAACGCGAACAATCTATCTTGGCACATAGTGTTCCTTAAAAATGTTTTATTACGTTTTAGTGTCGGAAAACATATTTCACTCTCCACTGTGGTCATGGGAATTGTACACAGGATAGTTAGCAGCTCCACAGATTCCAAAAATGTAATTGTCAAATTGATCTAAAAAACATTTGTAATAACGGTACGGACCCATTGTGTTGCACAAAGTCATCTCGGGTGTAAAGTATTGTTTTAAGCTGTTTACGTTTAGAAATAAACTACACACAGTTTTAACGTCCTCATTTGGTAAACAACCTCGGCAGTCTTTATATTTTTCACTGTCAAATAAACTTGCAATTGTTAGGTGGGTAGTAAAACTAAAACGTTCATTTACCTGCACTACTATTGTATCACAAATTTCCTTACATATCCTTAAATTAGGAATGGGGTCCTCCTTTTTAACACACCGTCTCTTCTTGCTTGTACTTGGACCTGATTGGGTGTTGTCGTTTAAGTTTAGTTCTTGTGGGTCTTGTTGTGATTGCCATTTAATCAAAAAATGATTACATATCCACTCTTGCGAAATTTGCTTAAATTTCTCAGAATAATGCAATTTACTTAACAATTCTAACTTGTTAACGCATTTTAAAGCATACGACTCTGAAAAAAAGGTGTTTGGCAATTTAAAATCTACCAGCGAAAAATATCTTTTATATTTTCAAATTAAAAAAAATATTTATATCTCTATTTGATAGTTTGTCAACTAAGCCTGAAATTTCCAACGCATACCTTTTTGAGATGAGCAAACTAGAATTTGGTCATCCTTGCCAACAATTTGCGAAAATTTACACCAATAAATTATTTATAAGACTCAGAATTTTTTATACTCTTAAATATGCAAACAGAGATTTGAAATCCTTGAAAAGTCAGACAAAACCAAAAGAAAAATTAAAATTTTGTCCCATTTATAAATATTATTGATTTTTTTTTTCATCATATTTTTGACTGCTTTATAAAAAAAAAGTTATTATTCTTTGTATTTTTATTTCTAAACTATTCCAATGGTCCAACTAACGTTATTTCGTAATCACAATAAATAAATTATTATCATGGTCCAACAAACGCGCACCTTAAGCCGAAAGAGATGCCGCTGCGTACATTCGTATCTAGTCTAGGTAATCTGTGCCATGGGTACAGCACGTCACAATGAGGACAGCGCGTAAGAGAAAATCAAAGTATGTGAGACAGCGTCCTGCTTGTGACGTATAATCCATCGCATGTGTTCATCTCTTGCTAAGCGATATTGTCGTTGTCCTTGTTTTTCGCATCATAATGAGAGAGAAAACAACAGAGGCACACATTTACTGTGCCTATCTTCCACTTAATTTCGGAATTCTCGGAATGTCGCTCAACGCCCAGTCGTCCAGTGTCGTGCCAACGCGGTTTGCGCTGACTATTAGAAAAAATAATAATAAGCATTGAGGAAAATATAAAATATGTTATTTTTTTTTGTTTATTATACTAGGGCACGTGCCCAAGTTCCCTTATGGGCAAACCGCCACTGTAGTCCTATGATATTTATTTGTTCCTTAACCCCTCATTAGCCGTTCGCCGACTAGGGCCGATAATAACAACTATTACATACATTTTGAACACGAATATATTTCGAAACATTCTCTTAGTAAAGAATCTACTTACTTTTCCCTGTGTAAATGCGTCTTTTCAATTCATTCCTACTAGTTTAAAAACAGAGTATAAGAGAAATATAAACTATACCAAGGATGGGAATCTAACTAAACAATTATATTTTTAATTTTTTTTCGTACAAATACATTTTAAAATTAACGTGAAAACAGTGCCGCCATCTACATAACTTACTGCAAGACACGCCCTCTTAAAGCATCTAAGACAGTTTAATGTTCCTTCTCTAAAATGTTTAAATTGGACATACGAGGTATTGTTTTGAGACCATAATTCTATAGTCTTTGCAAAAGGCAGAGTCCATGTGCTAATTAAACATTAAAACTAAATAATAAATTCGTTACATTTTTAATAAACATTTTGTACACATTTTTTTTTTTTTCGTAAAAATCAGAAAATTTAAAATACCCCTGTAGTCGTCAACTTTTAACAGAATTCCATTTTTTTTTTCTAAAAATGATCAAAGTGGACTCTATAAAACCTTAAATTTCTTGTGATAAAACTTCGACCAACATCATTGATTATAACGCTGACTCTTATGATTGTCTCTTTGCGGAGTTGCCACGCGCACTTAATTATCCGAGAGGGACTAACCAATAACGCATTTCATGCTAAAATAAAAAAAATTACGTATATTTCATAACTATAATATAAAATTATTTCTATCATTTTGTGGCATCAAAAAGTTTAAGAGAGCTCAGTAACTAATTTTTCATTCTAGTAGTGAGACTTTTATGGAGAACAGAACTGGATAGATGGACAATATTAAACAGGTATGTTTAAATTTAATTCAGATCAGTCAAGAGCAGGATGCTAAGGCAGCAGCAGTAGTTAATCGATGAACTTTATTCTATTGGTAATAAGTATTTCTTGTGATGCTTGATTCAAATGTTATCCTACTTCTTTGCAAACTCTTTTGCATCTCTTCCTATTCAGTCCAATCTCTTTTGCATTATTTATTTCTGTTCTATTTAAACCGTTCAAAACTTTACAATGATGTTATAGGACTTTTCCGGAAAAATTGGAGAGTAGGTACGAGGAAAATATTGGAAAGAGCGAAAAACTGCAGCTATGAAAATATATTTTTTGTTCTATTGATATATTGAACTGAAAATAAAAATTAATGATAAAACATGTCATTTTTATATGATTTATAGATTTTTGGGTAAAACATTTTTTGCTAATTTTGACATATAAAGTGACATTTCTTGTAATGTAATGCAACAAGTTGCATAAAGTTGAACAGTATGTAACTGGTTACAAATACATTACCACTAGTTGCGAAGAAAAAAAAAACAAAAACAAATCTTTTTTAATTTTTAAAACAATTTATTTATGAAACCAGTCACGAAATGCCTTATTTTTTGTACCGAGTGAATATTTGAGGGACGAGCAGAGCGAGGTCCTGCAACATGAACGAATGCTTTGGTAAGGAGCAACCAATATTACTTTCCTAAATTATTTTTACACTGAACTTCCTACGCATGCGCATTACGAAGTTTTTGAAGAAAATCTATTGAAAATTACACATTTGCATTATCGGTTGCCTATATCAATCGGACGGCATAATACGGAAAGCTACCAACCCTCAATAGTGACAAACTAAAATTGTCAGCTCTAAAGTTTTTGTTCGTTTAAAAAAGCTGTAGGATGTCCCAGGTAACCATCTGACGTCATTTGTACGTCAATATTAGGTCATTTAATGTCATTGACGTCACATGACCTTAAAATGATGACATTTTGACGTATTGGCCAGAACGTCAATTAGACGAACCAAATAGGACGTCATTTTTCCGTTTAATAAAGGTCACTAATGATCTTAATGCGAGAAATGTATACAATTCCACATTCCACTATTTATAGAGATAATTAGAAATTATTCCTTAAATTTAAAACTCTAAAACTTAATTTTGCTTTCTCATGTTCATGCTTAGTGTTATTTCTACACGTTTTTTGCATTTTAGAGTCCTATTTCTCTGCGCCAGCAGATATACACCAAATTGTTAATTGTTTGGGTATTTATTAAAACCATCATTACATATCATACATGCCTAATGTAAATGTAATTTTTATAATTTTAAAAATACGATCAAAATTAGTATTCGGTTTAACAAGTGGCTCGTCAAGTACTGTCATCTGTCATGCGTTCAGGAGCAGTTGTCAACTGGATATCGCGTCTACACGAGTTACCAGCTTCTATGTAGAATTAACATTGGAATTGGTGTTCTTTAGTCACATAATGTATGATTGCAGCGTCATTAGTTAATTCATGTTGTTTCTCGATTCTCGTCGGTTATTCTCTTCTCATTCCTCATTCTCGCTCCAACTCGATGCCAACAATAGTAAACAGACGTGGTCGCGGTACTCGCGGTCGCTAATGGTTGCCATTTTTCGGTTTTCTTTAGCGTCTTTTCTTTAGCTTGATAGTTAATTTGTTCTTATTCTAAAGTTTGTTGCGTTTGCTGCTTTAGATATATAGATAAAACACACGAAAAATAACTAGTATTAATTAATTTAAAGCCATGTTCAATCGTCCATATAATAGTGAAGATTGTTTCATGTTGTGGAGTTTGCGGAAGATGCGATTTTTAATACGTGTTTTAGAAGTGTTTTATCACTACTTTAGAATTTTTGTTTGTAGCAGACATTTTTGCAGTTACCATATTATTGATTTTTAATAAATATGTGTTTTAAAAAGTATTTAAGTCCATTTTGTCAATACCATATCCTTTACTTATATTCAATTGGGATTGAAAATTGTCATTTTTACGATTTTATTCAAATGGAAATAAACAGTTAAAGATTAGTAATCATATATTTGATACCTCCAAATATTATCTATTTTGTTTTTAATTTACAGTATTTTTAGGTCATTAGCTATTTGCAGAAAGCTTGATTGATGCTAACCATTGGTTGAATATTAATTGACGTCTAGACTAGTGATTTTTCAAGTTTTATTACCATTACTACTCTTACCTTCAATTAAAATGTAATAAACGATTAACTTTAATTAAGTTTACTGCAACTGGTCATAAATATGTAAAATTAATTTTACAGCAAATCAATTCGTCGTCATTAAAACGTCAGACTACTTTCTTGTAAGACGTATTTTTTAAGTCAACTCATAACGTCAATTTGACGTCGTAATATGACGTCATTCGTCTGTGACTTATGCCACGTTTGAAAATCCACATCCGATGCATTTTTTACATCTCGAGCGTTTGTTTATCCACATCGGACACATCTGTCCCACTACATTTACGTATACTGAATCACGTGATAAAAGATTTACTACATCTCAGATGCATCCGATGAGGATATATGCAAACGCGGCATTAGAAGATCATATTAACGTCATTCGGACGTCATTTTGGAAGTCATCCTGACGTCAATGATGACCAAATAATGACGTACAAATGTCGTCAGCTGGTTTCCTGGGGTGGGTTAGTATTTTATAGTTTTACAGAATACATAATTAATTGAGGCTTGGTAGGTTCTTACAAAATGTAGAACGCGTATTTTATTACCCAAATCCGCCCCCGACCCAATATCTGGTATATTTCCAAAAAAAATTTAGGTTTCGGTTGCATTTCTGATAGTCCGGTTCTGGCGGATAGGCCAATTTGAGTCTACCTAAGCCACGCCCAGTGATACCGTTTTTAATGTATACTCAAATGTAAAATCCAGTTATTGTCCAAAGATATGAGTGCAAGAAAGAATAACCAATAATCAATAGTCTCGGCGAATAAAAAGCATGACTGAAACCATATCACAGACAAGAGGATTATCATCTTGTCTGATCTCCAAACAGCCATCAAAGGCCAGAGCTCTTTCGTAATCAGCTCAAAAATGATCTGGAGTTGACTAGAAAAACTGAATTATCTGGCGAGTAGGAAATCAAATACCCTCAGGTCCTCAGGCATTTTGCAATAGCACAATATTTCTATATGTTACTAAATATTAAAAATATTTGAGCAGTAAAGTAATCGACAATTCGAACTTTCTTGGAAGTAATCTAAGCTAAGATCCCAAGTAACACAAAAAGTTATATAAGGGTAATACCGACGTTGCAACAACTTTTCTCAAAATTCATCAACTTACATATTCGGATACACTATTATATTATATTATATTATATTATATTATATTATATTATATTATATTATATTATATTATATTATATTATATTTATATTATATTATATTATATTATATTATATATATATTATATTATATTATATTATATTATATTATATTATATTATATTATATTATATTATATTATATTATATTATATTATATTATATTATATTATATTATATTATATTATATTATATTATATTATATTATATTATATTATATTATATTATATTATATTATATTATATTATATTATATTATATTATATTATATTATATTATATTATATTATATTATATTATATTATATTATATTATATTATATTATATTATATTATATTATATTATATTATATTATATTATATTATATTATATTATATTATATTATATTATATTATATTATATTATATTATATTATATTATATTATATTATATTATATTATATTATATTATATTATATTATATTATATTATATTATATTATATTATATTATATTATATTATATTATATTATATTATATTATATTATATTATATTATATTATATTATATTATATTATATTATATTATATTATATTATATTATATTATATTATATTATATTATATTATATTATATTATATTATATTATATTATATTATATTATATTATATTATATTATATTATATTATATTATATTATATTATATTATATTATATTATATTATATTATATTATATTATATTATATTATATTATATTATATTATATTATATTATATTATATTATATTATATTATATTATATTATATTATATTATATTATATTATATTATATTATATTATATTATATTATATTATATTATATTATATTATATTATATTATATTATATTATATTATATTATATTATATTATATTATATTATATTATATTATATTATATTATATTATATTATATTATATTATATTATATTATATTATATTATATTATATTATATTATATTATATTATATTATATTATATTATATTATATTATATTATATTATATTATATTATATTATATTATATTATATTATATTATATTATATTATATTATATTATATTATATTATATTATATTATATTATATTATATTATATTATATTATATTATATTATATTATATTATATTATATTATATTATATTATATTATATTATATTATATTATATTATATTATATTATATTATATTATATTATATTATATTATATTATATTATATTATATTATATTATATTATATTATATTATATTATATTATATTATATTATATTATATTATATTATATTATATTATATTATATTATATTATATTATATTATATTATATTATATTATATTATATTATATTATATTATATTATATTATATTATATTATATTATATTATATTATATTATATTATATTATATTATATTATATTATATTATATTATATTATATTATATTATATTATATTATATTATATTATATT